GGTTGGTGAATTGCAAGTTAAGAAGAGTTAGTCATCATTAACCTAAAATGTTTTCATAAACAGATCCAGAGGAGATGAAGCAAGCACAAGAGGAAATGAGGAGACAAGGCGTGCCTTCGCTCACGAGCTTGTTACCAGGCGCTGGGGCTAGCCGCTAAGAATTCCTCAGTTAACTCAATGTATCACAAAAGGAACAGAGAGAGATTTCTCAGTGATCTGAGTGAGTTTGGTTGTTCATCTGCAACTGATGATTTATTAAAGCTCTTCTTTTATCTGATATGTAAAGTCAACTTGTGTCTAAAACCAGAAAAAGGTCATCTTATGATTTATACACGATATAAGTATCATCATGTGTTTTTTGGCTTTTGAAATGTTAAATTTATTGATCAACAAAACTGAATATTTATAAAGAAACCTAACACACCAAAACCTTGTTGTTAACGCAAAATCTCAAAACAGAGCAAAAAGACAAAACATAGCCATGAAGCGATTAACGCTGCCGTTCTATACATCATTGTAATAGCCTACTGTGCTTCGAATCCGTTGAATGTTGCATTTATAGCCTAGTCAATGAAGTGTGACCTTTTAAATATATTTTTGGGATTTTGGTCAACAATACCACTTTCTAAGAAAAGCTTTTCAAAAGTAACATATTTCATAATTATTTTTCAAACTACCACATTATTGTAGTAATGTGGTATAATTATGACCAATTTACTTTTGATAAGACCACATAAGTTTCTTATCACTTTTTTCTTTTATTTATTAATTAACTTTTAATTGTGGTATATATATATATATATATATATATATATATATATATATATATTTATATATGTAGTGGACAATAATTGTTGTAGACCAAAAAACTATTATGATTTTGATCCACGATTTTATATTTTAATGTCCACGACATGTTTTGGTCCATGCTATTATGTTTTATGTTAATCTCATCGATCATCTGGTTGTCCAGGACATATAAAACATATAAAACATATGTATATATGGTCTTATCAAGGATAAATTGTGTGCACCAAAAACAAAATCATGGACCAAAACATATGTCGTGGACATTAAATTATATAAACGTGCACCAAAATCATAAAAATGTATTGTATAAATGGAGAAAAATAGAACAAGAGAAAAAAAAATCTTGATTATCTTATTATATAAAGTATGGTTTTCAAAGTTAATAACTCATAGGATCGTGACACGTGAAAAATCTATCGATCTTAGATTTTGACACGTGTAAAACAAAAATTTCTTTTTATTTAATTTTAAAAAAGTAAAGAAGATAATTATAAGGAAACTATATGTATCTTATTAAATAAAAATAGAAATTATAAAATTATTTACCATTTCTAATTTAAAGCTACTAATTCTAAAAGAAAAGTATTACTTTTTCCTTAAAAACTAAAAAAAGATTTAAGAAATTATATAATTAACTAATAAAATACGATAATTAAGAAGACTCTACAATCAAAAAGATTTAAGAAATTATATAATTAATTAATAAAATAAAATAATTAAGGAAATTATACAATCAATTAATCTTTTAAAAGAAGATTTTAAATACTCACCTCTATATAAACAAAAACATTTCTTCAGAAGCACCACCATTGCTTCAACTTCGATATATTGTCAAAGCTTTTTTCAGGTAAAAATCGTTTATTTTTCTTAACCATGCAAAAAGTAAAATAAGAATTTTTACATGTGCTATTAGTCAACAAAATTTGGCATGTATTAGTCAATAAAATTTGAAAAAGTAATGAGTTTATAAGAATTAATTTTTGATTACTTGATGATAATATTATTATAGTTATACTTATTTTTTATTCTAAAAAATTGAAATAAGTGAAAACACAAAAATTGGAAAATGGCATATAGGAAGTAATTTTTGATTACTTGACGAGAATGTCAGCATATTTTTTTATATTTTTTTATTTATTAATTTTAAGTCAATTAATATTAGTTTGACATGAGGTAAATTTAACTTATAAGATTAATACATATATATATGTAACATTATTTTTAAGTACAAAAAGATTTGTGGATGTTTACTTTTTTAAAAAAAAAATTATGTTTGATATTTGTTAATTATTTTAATATTTATTAAGATATAGATTTGATATGATATACATATTATTTGGATATAAACTTTTTAGCATTTATCTATTAAGATGAAGTGTGTGTAGAATTAAAATCTATCGTCTTCTTATACAAAGTTTGGTTTCTAAAATTAGTAACTCATGGGATCGTTGTCAAGTCTATCGATCAGATTTTGACACGTGTAAAAATAAAAATTATAAAAATATGTGATGATATAATTTAATATTTATATTATTTATATTAATTTCCTTTCAAATTGGAATTATGTAATAGAAATTGTTTTTCAAGTTCACAATTTTTTAAAAAGTGAAAGTAATAAGACTTATAGTTAGCTTAATGTCTTCATAAAGACATTTTGTAGGTGGTGGTGGTAAAGATCATACTTTCAGAGAAAAATATGATTGGGTGTAAATATACATTTTTAGTAATAACATAGATCTGATACGTTTGTAAATGGGAAAAATGTCATTTAAATCGTCACTTTGCCATTTGTGGAGGTTTAAAGCATGAACTTTGAGTCTGGTGCTTTTAATCCTCAATTTCTAGTTGACTTTCAATTTAATCTCTAACTTTCGTTGACGATGCCGATTGAGGCACGTCTTTAACTGGACAAACGGAGGATTAAGACGCTGTTATCTGTCCGTCTAATATATCCGTTAATAAGCTAAACGATGTCGTTTAATCAAATGAAAACCCCCAAATTCGATTAAGCTCGAACCCTAGAATACCAAATCGAAATTAGAAATACAAAATCGAAGATTCTCTCTCGTTTTCTTCTCTAATCAAGACTTCAAGATAGCTGTGTTGAGTTTTCGATCTAAAGATCCTTACACCTAACCCACACACACACTTTGAAGGCACTCCACGGGCAGCGAGTACTATCGATGTCTCGGAGCTAGAACTCATCGGAATCGAGATAACAGATCTTGAGGAATAAAGAAGAAATCGAGATTTGAGAAGAAATCGAGATTAGAGAAGAAAACGAGAGAGAAACTTCGATTTTGTATTTCTAATTTCGATTTGGTATTTTAGGGTTCGAGCTTAATCGAATTTGGGAGTTTTCATTTGATTAAACGACGTCGTTTCTCTTATTAACGGATATATTAGACGGACAGATAACAACGTCTTAATCCTCCGTTTGTCCAGTTAAAGACGTGCCTTAATCGGCTTCGTCAACGAAAGTTAGAGATTAAATTGAAAGTCAACTAGAAATTGAGGATTAAAAGCACCAGACTCAAAGTTCATGCTTTAAACCTCCACAAATGGCAAAGCTATGATTTAAATGACATTTTTCCTGTAGAAGTTTCTTTTCAACCCATCTGCGCCTCTTTGCAAAAATCAGAGCCTTTTAGCTCTAGATCTGGACCATCACCACAGTCTCAAACAGTTTCTACTCATCGGATTTCGTTGATGGCAAGAGAATCTCTTGGACCGTCAGTTGCGCTTTGTCCGGTGAGTTCGTCGACGGCGCACGACGATTCCCAAAGCTGTCTTAAGGCTCCTCATTCAATTCTCAGGTCTGTGCACTTCATCATCTCATCAGGTTCAGTTCTAAAGATTTACTACTCCATGTTAGGGTAGTAGTGACATCTTTAGGCTGGATTTGCCACTGTCAATTACGAAACCTGTTGGAATTAGATGTTTTGTTGCTATCCGATGCAATTTCATCTTGGAAGCTTTTTGGATTAGTTCCACACTTGATCCATAGATGGCGTGAGTCTGGTCACGCTTCTCCACTGTTAGGAGATCATAGATCGAATGGTAAATTGTCCAAGTTCAAGCTTAATTATCTAGCCTCAAGTTTATTGGGCGATGCATCTCAACACTCTCGAACCATTTTGGAGAAACCGCCTCCGTATGTTCAATCTAACAATTTCTCAAGTTCTCTTAAATCAGATTCTTATTGCTTAGGCTTGAATGGACAAGGACTACATTCTAGTCTCACAATATTATCTGTGTTTTGGTCTTGTGATTACTTTTGGCGAATCTTGCAAACCTACTCCACCATGGAGAAAATATTCCCGCAAACCTTTACCGGCATTTTGAAACCGTCTCGAACCTTAGCCTCCTCCGTGGAGCAATTTAACAAAAGCTCTTATGCGTTATTCGCGCGAGCTATTTATGACCACTTGTTGGTCGGGGATTTCTCGAAGCTCGTCTTCAAGCTTGAATCCTTCAAGACATCAAAAGACCTTCCAACCATTGCAAGCTTTTTGAAGTTGCGCATCTCCTTGGAAAACTCATTGAGTCTCTATCTTTATCTTTCATGTATTGTTTCACTTTTAAGTTGTATGAACATCCCTCTTTTGAGGTTCTAAGTTAATGAAGAGATCATTTTGCACAAAAAAAAAATGACATTTTTCCCGTTTGTAAATAGATGTAATAAGATGATTATTTAACCAATAGTTTGCGTGTAAAATATTTTTTGAAGAAGTTGTAGAATTATATTTTAAGGAGATTGCGAGACTACATTTTTGAAATTTGGAAATAAATCTAATGATGAATATTTGACAAAAAGTTTTGGTGATTGATAATTTAAATTATTGTAATAAGTGTTGCAATAAATTTAAAATATAGAAATGTAAATCAGTATATAAAAAAAAAAACAAATATATAATTAACTTATTTGATGACTAAAAATATCTATTTACTCTCTAAAGATAGTTTCTACTTATAAATTTTTTTGAATATATATTGTTTTGTTAAATTTAATTTTATATAAAAAAAATTAAAACCCGCACATCGTGCGGGTCCTTATCTAGTATGTATATAATAGATATATATATATATATATATATATATATATATAATGTAAAGTAAGAGAAATGTTGTATGAGACAAAAGAAAAAGGAAAAATGGAAGAGAAAAAATAAAGATATAATCGTTTTTTTTATGTTACAATGTGGTAGATTAGAAAAGCCAATAGAGAAAGTGGTAGTTTTAGAAAGAATCTTTCAAAATGTGGTATAGAGGATAATTTTTTCTATATTTTTGTTGGGTCAAAGATTTAAGATTGGTTAAATATCTATTTACTAACTTATTAAGAAAACTAAAGAGGGTAAAAACTTGAATATAATTAGGAATTGTACACAAAGAATTTATGGCTATCAAATTTTTATATATAAATAGATCATTTCATAATCAATTAGTTTACATCAAATCAAATCTTAGAAATATACAATATTGGTTTGTTAAAATGGGTTCCTCCAAATTGATGGTTACATGCATTGTTGTTGCTATTCTGGCCATTTCATGTGACATTCTCTCTGGTATATGTTATTATAAATATGTATTCGACTATGTGCTAACCAATTTTGTATCCTTCTTCAGAAAAAGATTCTTATATTTTTTTTTTCATGATTAATAGTTGAAATGGGAATTAGCGTACAAGCTTTACCTCCGACTTGTGGACCAGATTGTACTGGAACATTCTTGAAACAAGACTGCTATAAATATTGTGCAGGTTTATCTTATAAACATGGTGTTTGCATTCTATTCAAAGGACTTCCTCCAAGAACTTCTACATATCGTTGTTGTTGTGGGTAAATGAAATATATAATTCTTCATGCTCTTTGGTCATGTATGTTTATGTTTTTTTCCTTTAACAATAATATAATAAAGAGTTTTATTTTTTCAATGGGAAGACCATACATACATGCGATTTAATTATTGTTAATAACTTAATATTCTTATAATGAATAATTTTAATTAGCTCACATATTTTTCTACAAATTAAAATCAAATTTAACAAAAAAATAGTAGAAATTTTCTTTCAAAAGTAAAAACAATATTTACATTTTCACTGTTGCATTGTTTATTTAACCACTTAAATTATTAATTCAAAATTATTTCGAATGAAAGATATATCACATAACAATAATTCATGGTATACTTATATGAATAACAAAAATTAAAAATATTCATCATAAAGTTGGTGAATAAAACCAAAGTGGTGTTTAATTAGACACGTTAAAAATATAAAAATGATAAATCGACTAAATTCTTTAGCCTTCCAACCTATCGTTGCGGGTTTAATTCCTATAAACTCGATTGCAATAACTTTATGATCAATCAATAAAAACCGATAAATTCAAAAAATTATAAGCACGATGATATATGAATCTTATATAATCAAATATGGATATAGAAATTGAAATAAACAATTTTGAAATAGTATAATTAAATTCAAAATATCAAAAACAAAAAAGAAGCATATATATTTATATATACATTTTTGGAGTATCTTTAACAAATAAATTTTGGGGTTGGAAAGTATTTACGACTCCATGCCATTAGCATTAATTGTTTAGATTTGTTTTATTTAATATAGTGAAAGATTTTACTCTTATAAAACTTTTTCGGATCAGCTCAAAAATAACATTCCGTTAAATTCGTTTTTTTTATATTTAATATCACAAAGAATCTTTTACAGTTAAACCAAGAAGGTTCGCATATGAATTTGAAGAAGAGATCATAAGACCTGATAAACACATTTCCCTACCTCTTGGCCGTGACAACAAATTCAGAATTATTGAACTGGAATCGAGGATCTCTTCATTAGATCACCTTTGATTCTCATCGCAAAGTTCAGATTCAGTCACTCTTATACCGATGGGTGATATTTTTACAATCAAAACAAAAATCGTAAAAGAGAATGGTTCTCTTGATTGCATCATGGTCACGACCCTCATCTTCTTCCACATTTCTTTCTCTTTTGCCTCGACGTCTCCGTCTCTAACTACGGCAATTAGTTGGGCCAACATGGTCCTCTTCTTACAATTATTCTTTGGGTGGACTTATCAAAAGGACTCACTTTTCCTTTAAATTTTTATTTTTATTTTTTAATGTGAGATTTTATTTGAAAATTAAAATATTTAGCATCCATTTTGTAACAAACTTGAAAATTCTTGGATGTTAAAATATTGAAAATATTTTAAGAGGTATATTTAATCATTGAGTTGAATTTATTTGGATACTTTTTTAATTTTAGAAAGATTTCATTTAAATATATCGTAAAGATTTTACACGATCTTCTAAAACGTAATGAATATTAAACAACATCAACCGAAAAATATGGAACACCATTTTAAATATATCTTAGAAACCATATATTTATTAATGTTAAATGGGCGACTTTTTTTTGTCAATAAAGTCAAATTTATATAGTGTGAGTTTTGATTAATTTTCATTTACTAATATTTTTTATTATTGATTCAATGGTTATAATATTTAAATTTTATAATATTAATAATATTTGAACTCTATATAAATTATATATATATATATATATATATATATATTATGGAAACCATTTAAAAGCAAACGTCATTTTTAATTTCACGGGACGGGGTTATATATATAGTTGAACGAGTTTAGATCGACATTAAATGCAGACGGTATACCACTAGTGAAATCATAAAATTAACAATCAGAATACATTTATACAATCTTAAACACTAAACAAAACAAACAATATTAACAAAACATTAATATTTAATTTTTTTGTTACAAAAAACTCGATCAATAAAACAAACAATATTAACAAAACATTAAAAAATTGTCATGCCCCTGCAAATGTTGATGTCTCCAAGCAAAAGCAGGATGACAAAAGTGTTGATGTCTCCAAGCATAAGCAGGATGAAAAAATTGTTGTTGTTAAGGCGAAGAGTAAGGAGATTGATCCCAACTTTTCTATACCACCTGGTTGGGGAGTGATGTCGAAGAAGACAAGGAAAAAACTGTTGAAGAAATGGCACAATCATATGAGTTCCAAAGTGCCTGGAGTTTATGTTCCCGTGAGAGGTGCGTCCTCGAGCGGAACTTCTAACCTCTGAAAGCTGTGCTTTCACCCCTCCCCTTTTGTGTACAATGAGGGTTTTTTGCTGGAATATTAGAGGCTTGAATAGCCATAATCGTCAAAGTATGGTCAGAAGCTGGGTTGCTTCTAACAATCTCCTGGTAGGTTCTTTTTTGGAAACTCATGTGTCTGAAGCTAATGCATCTGCTGTTTTAGCTTCTGTTCTACCAGGTTGGCGTTCGGATAATAATTATTGTTCTTCTGAACTGGGAAGGATTTGGCTTGTTTGGCATCCCTCAGTCTCAGTTGTGGTCTTCAAGAAATCAGATCAAATGATTCTCTGCAGTATAAAGCTGCCTTCGGTTAGCAGATCCTTTGCGATCGCTTTTGTCTATGGAAAAAATACTACACTAGAGAGAAGACTTTTATGGGAGGATATTTCATCTTTGGCTTCATCGACCCCACTTAATACTACTCCTTGGGCGTTATTGGGTGATTTTAATCAGATTGCTAACTCCGCTGAGCACTTCTCTGTCATCCAATCATCCTTACCATTGAGTGGAATGGAAGATCTGCAGAATTGCCTAAGAGATAATGAGTTAGAAGACATTCCTAGCAGGAGAGTCTTTTTTACTTGGTCTAATCATCAGGATGACAATCCCATTATAAGGAAACTTGACAGGGCTTTGGCCAATGGAGAGTGGCTTGCTTCTTTCCCCAATTCTATGGCTGTCTTCGACCCACCGGGCGATTCAAACCATGCTCCTTGCATCTTAAATATTGATATTTTGCCGGAAAGATCGAAAAAATGTTTCAGGTACTTCTCCTTCCTCTCTTCCCACCCGACGTTTCTCTCCTCTATATCTACTGCTTGGGCAGATCAGATCCTTGTGGGATCTTCTATGTTCTCTCTGGGAGAGAGGTTAAAAGCAGCTAAGAAGTGTTGTAAGAGATTGAATAGGATCGGGTTTGGTAATATCCAGCAGAGAACCAAGGAGGCTCTGGAGTCTCTGGAGATCATTGAGACCGATCTTCTCTCCTCTCCATCAGATTCATTATTCAGAGAAGACCATGTTGCACGGAAAAAATGGAACTTCTTTGCTGCTGCCTTGGAATCCTTCTACAGACAAAAATCAAGGATCAAATGGCTAAAAGAAGGAGATGCAAATACAAGATTTTTCCACAGGGTTGTCCTTGCTCATCAAGCCAGAAATCTAATCTCCTACCTTAGAGGGCCGAGCAACGAAAGAGTGGAAAATGTCTCTCAAATCAAAGACATGGTCATTGCTTACTATACCCATCTTTTGGGTTCTGATAGTGACATTCCCCAGCCTTACTCTGTTGAAAGAATTCAATCTCTCCAGCCCTTTCGTTGCGATGCTGATCTTGCAGCTAAGCTTGTTGCCATCCTGAGTGATGAAGAGATCATTCGCACTATCTTCTCCATGCCAAAAAACAAAGCGCCTGGCCCAGATGGGTTCTCAGCTGAGTTCTTCTGGGAAGCATGGCCGGTGGTCAAAGACAGCACTCTCCAGGCAGTTAGGGATTTCTTCCGGAATGGTCACCTTCTGCCTAAATTCAATGCCACTGCAATCACTCTAATACCCAAGGTGCCTGGCGCAGATCATTTGTCCAAGTTCAGGCCCGTCGCCTGTTGTAATACAGTTTACAAGATTATCACTCGCCTATTATCTAAGCGGCTTCAACTCTTCATCTCGGATGCAGTTCAGGGCAACCAAGTTGGTTTTATTAAAGGAAGAATGCTCTGTGAAAATGTTCTACTTGCTTCTGAATTGGTTGAGAATTTTCAGGCTGTGGGAAATGTTTCCAGAGGCTGCCTACAAATTGATATCTCAAAGGCTTATGACAATGTTAACTGGACTTTCCTCCTTAACATTTTAAAAGCGATGCAGCTGCCTGATGTTTTCATTGATTGGATTCGGGTCTGCATATCCACTCCCTCTTACAGTATTGTCTTCAATGGAGAACTAATTGGTTTTTTCAAAGGTAAGAAGGGGATCAGACAAGGCGATCCGATGTCGTCCCACCTCTTTGTTTTGGTAATGGATATCTTGGCTAGATCTTTGGACAGGGGAGCTGCAAATGGGCTCTTTCAACCACATCCTAAGTGCTTTGCTCCTTTAGTAACACATCTAAGCTTCGCTGATGATGTGTTAATCTTCTTTGATGGTTCAGAATCCTCCATTGATGGAATTCTTCAGATTCTTGATACCTTCAAACACGGGTCTGGATTGGGAATAAACAGACAAAAGACAGCCCTCATGCTTGATGGAGGAGACTTTGAAAGGAACAGAAGCATGGCTGCCCGTTTTAATTTGACTCATGGCGCTCTCCCGGTTCGTTACCTTGGAGTCCCATTGATGGCGCAAAAGATGCGAAAACAAGACTACCAACCTCTCATTGACAGGATTAATAACAGATTCTCCTCTTGGACCGCTAGACACTTGTCCTATGCTGGGAGGCTTCAGCTCTTGAAATCTGTTATTTACTCCACCATTAGCTTTTGGACTTCCATTTTTATTTTACCAAACCAGTGTCTCCTCAAGCTAGAACAGATGTGTTGTGCGTTTCTGTGGAAAGGCGCCCCTGATTCAGCTAGAGGGGCAAAAATATCATGGGATGTTGTTTGTTCTTCTAAGGACTGTGGTGGTTTGGGTCTAAGGAGACTGTCGTCTTGGAATAAGGTGCTTGCCCTAAAACTGATTTGGCTTCTTTTTTCTGCCGCTGGCTCACTTTGGGTTTCTTGGGTCCGCTTAAACCTGATTGGAAGTAGATGCTTCTGGGACTTAAACCCAGCAACCTCTGGAAGTTGGATTTGGAGAAAGCTTTGCAAGCTTAGACCATTGGCTAGACCTTTCCTTGTCTGCGAGCTGGGGTCTGGCATTACCGCCAAATTTTGGCATGACAATTGGACTGGTCTAGGGCCTCTTATAGACATCACTGATCCTCTTGGTCCTCAAATCTCGGGACTGCCTCTTAATGCTGTTGTTAGGGATGCGGTTCGGGGCAGTACTTGGAGGATCTCTTCCTCTAGAAGCCGCAACAATATCATCACCTTACTCAAATCCATTTTGCCAAATCCGGAGAATATGATTGAGAGCTTGCATGATGACTCTTATCTTTGGAAAACAGACCATCATGCTCCCTCAAACACCTTCTCAGCGGCAAAGACTTGGAGTGCTCTTTTCCCCCCGATGGCCACAGTCCCGTGGAGCAAATCCGTGTGGTTCTCAGGTAATGTTCCCAAACATGCCTTCATCTCTTGGGTCACTGCCTGGAATAGGCTACATACCCGTGACAGATTGAGGAGTTGGGGATTAATGGTTCCGGCTACCTGTATTCTATGTAATACTATGCCCGAGTCTAGGGATCATCTCTTTTTTGCTTGCAGCTTTGGTTCTGACATTTGGAGACATTTCATGTCGCGCGCCGGCTTGAATCCGCCCAACCATTATATGGGCTGCCTCCTCTGGTTACAAAATGCTTCAAGGAACAAGAACATCAAGCTTATTATTCACCTCCTTCACCAAGCTTCTGTTTACTTCATATGGCGTGAGAGGAACCAGCGCATCCACTCCGCATCTCCTCGTTCTGCGCCGTCGATAATCAAGGAAATAAAACTTATTATCCGGGCAAAGCTTGATCCTCTTTCGCGTGCTCAGCGAGTTGTGCCTCCTGCTTTAACCTTGCTTTCTACTTGGTTTTCCCTTTTTCAGTAAAGAAGCCCCTGTTGTCTCTCTTTTGGTGTAGTCGTTTCCTGTCAGGAGAGGATTTGTTTCTTCCTGTTTGGGCCTGTGGCCTATGTGGCCTTTTGCCATGTATGTTTGGGTCTGTGGCCTGTTTGGGCGTTTGCCATGTATGTTTGGGCCTGTGGCCTGTTTGGGCGTTTGCCATGTATGTTTCAGTTTTTAATGGAAATTTAAAATGAAAAAAAAAAAAAAAAAAAAAAAATTAATTTTTTTAGTTAAGAAAAACTCGACCCGCGGTGAACCGCGGGGTAAAATCTAGTGTTTCTTACATATTCAAGAATTGCAAATAAAACAATATAAAATTTTACTTAAAATCATCATATATTTATAATTAGAAAATAATATTGATATAAATAATATAAATTTTTAATTTAAATCATGACACATGTCGCTATCTTAAATCATTAGAGATATGATATATTATAAATCTTATATAATTTAAACTGAACGTATAAACCAAAATAAATAATTTAAAGAAACAACAGTTAAACTAAAAATTAAAAAATTATAAACACGATGATATATGAATCTTTGATAATTTAAATATGAAAAGAGAAATTGAAATAAACAATCTAACTATACTACAATCATAATTGAGGACAAAAAAGAAAACACTTAAGTAAAAAAATATTACAAAAGGAAAAAACATAGATCTCACATATTTCTAATTGAAAAAATAAACTAAAGTAAATAATATGAAGATTAGTTTAATTAAAGAAAAATTGTTAAAAATGCCCCTTTTCCAATACCTCTTTTCAAAAATGCCCCCTTTGAGAGTCCATTTTTAAGTTTGCTCTCTTTTAATTTTTAATGACCATTTTACCCTTATTTGAAACAAAATTAGGTCCACAAAATACAAAATATACCTTTAAAATACCTTGTAAAATTTTCCCGTAAAAAATTTTTCCGCCAAAAAATTTTCCCGCCAAAAATTTTTTTTTGCGGGAAAAGTGATTCTGCAATTTTTTTGGCAGGAAAAATTTACAAGGTATTTTAAAGGTTTTACGGAGTATTTACAAGTGTTTTGTAAGGTTTTACAATATATTTTAAAAGGTTTTACAAGGTACTTATAAGGTTTTATAAGGTATTTATAACTTGTAAAACCTTATAAAAAACTTGTAAAACCTTATAAAAAACTTGTAAAACCTTATAAAATAGCTTGTAAAATCTTATAATATCTTATAAATACCTTATAAATACGTTGTAAAACCTTTTAAAATACATTGTAAAACCTTATAAATACACTGTAAAAAACCTTTAAAATACCTTGTAAATTTTTCCCGTCAGAAATTTTCCCACCAAAAATTTAACATCAAAAAAATTGCGGAATCACTTTTCCCGCGGGAAAAAATTTTACGGGAAAATTTTACAAGGTATTTTAAAGGTTTTACAAGTTTTTACAAGTGTTTTGGCGGAAAAAATTGCGGGATCACTTTTCCCGCCAAAAAATATTTTGTATTTTGTGGACCTAATTTTATTATATTTCCTTATATATTTGTGATATCTTTTATTAAAAGAAGGGTAATTTAGTCATTTTGTACATAAAAAGGGGTATTTTTTAAAATAGACAGCCAAATGGGGCATTTTTGAAAAGGGGTATTGAAAAAGGGGCATTTTTGTGAGTCTCCCATTAATTAAATCATCACATATTTCTAATTGAAAAAGAAATTGAGATAAATAATATCAAATTTTAAATTAATATATAATAACACATATTTCCTTTTTAATAAATTTGTCTGATTTTTTTTTTGTTTAATTGAAATATAAAAACGTACAATTTCCTTATTATTATCTTTTGACATTTTTAAATTTTTTGTAGAAATATGAATTATTTACAATTATTCTTATAATTATCTTTTACATTTTTAAAATTATTTAAATTTGTAATTACTTTCAATTATCTTTTTTTTTTAATAAAAAAAAGAAACTTTTGTTTTACACGTGTCAAAATCTAAAATCGATAGATTTGCCACGTTTCACGAGCATATGAGTTATTAACTTTGAAAACCATACTATATATAATAAGATATTTATTTCAAGTTATTCTATAATATAATATGTTTTCTTTTAAATTATACGAGTGAACATCTATAATTAGCTAATTAATTATTGTTTTCAGTTTTTTAGTTATATACTTTTATACGAATAGTCAAATACGTATATTTACGTCATGTGAAGCAGAGTTTATGGCAGCTATGGAGGCAGCTATGGAGGCAGCGAAGCAAGCCATATGGCTTAAAGAGTTGATGGAGTTTTTTGTATTGACAAGAAGGTCATACTAAAGATTGACAACAAGTCGGCCATTGCTCTTACCAAGAATTTGGTGTTTCATGGAAGGAGTAAGCACATAATTTCTCAATACGATTTCATTCGAGAGTGTGTGGAGAATGAGAAGATTGAAGTTGAGCATGTTCCCGGCGAGGAACAGAAGGCTGACATACTTACCAAGCTGTTGGCGAGAATCAAGTTCAAAGAGATGAGTAGTCTAATCGGAGTTGAAGAGATCAAACTTCCCGGAATTCAAGTTGGAATTAAGGAGGAGAAAATTGGATAATTCAACTTACTCGATGAGCAAGTAATCTCTTCCTAAAAGATGGTAGAAGAGATAGAAAAAGGAAAAACAATAAAAGAAAATTAGGATAAAGTTTTGAGAGATTTCTTTTTCCTAATAGAATTAGGAGTAGCTATATTCTATATAAATAGAAATCCATGTAGAGTTGTTCCATAGAACATAAGAGAGAGATATAAGTCTTTGGAGAGTTGTTCCAAAAGACCTAGAGAAAGATTTAGTTTGAATAGTTTCTAAATCAATAAAGAAAGTTTGTTATTTAATCTTTTGTTCTCGTATTGCTGAATTACTTTCTAAATCATTCAGCGACTAAGTGAGGGTAAGAAGATCTTGATTTAAATTGGTATCAGAGCTTGGTTTGAAGACTTTTGACAAGACAGGTGGTATGTGTCTCGTATGCAAGTATGGCAGGCGAGAATCCACAACCACGAACGAAGGACCTTGGATCTCCAGCAATCCACAGTCCGATGTTAACATCGATAAACTACACTGTTTGGGCGATGCATATGAGAGTAGATGGAGAGAGGAAACTTTTCTCTTGTTTGTGGAGAGAGCAAACAATAGCAGGAGGCAGCAGCAACAAGCTGACTTGACTCACGAGCACCAAGGATGTTTTCTAACACCCAGGAGACAAAGTGTGCCTTGGCTCACGAGCTTCTTGGGGTTAGGTAGATCGAAATATCACGAAAGCTGACTTGTTTAGTTGACTGCACCAGTTTATATCCTTAAAAAAAAGTCAAATGATAAGTGTATTTTCAAAGTTGACTTTTCAGGTAATAAAGTTAATTTCTTATTAGATTTTGTTTGGCGAAAACCTAATCCTCTGGTCTAACCAGTGAGTCTATTTATAGAGATATTAAATAAATATTTGTGGCAAAAATTTCGATGTCCCTATGAATCTGTGAACTAGCGATAGTAAATTAGTAACCGATCTTCGAAGAAACCGAAGAAGAAGTAAACAAACACACATTCAAAATCTCATTCGATTCTCAGATTTTTGAAATCTGCCTCCGATCTCTCTCTCTTATCTCATTCCTCTGATCGTGGATTGAGATGGAGACCTTACCCACGACGGTTCCGTCAAAATCAGAACGACGAGCTCGGTCCTCCAAGTCTTCTCAGAGTTCCTCTAAGCCCTCAGTTATAATGGCTTTCTTCTCTTGCGTCGCTTGGCTCTATGTCGCTGGTCGGTACGTTCGCTTCTTTCCTTTTTTTCCACTGTTCGTTGATTCGATTGATAATCGAATCTCCAATGACTCTAGATTAGTTCTTTGGATTCAATTTTTTCATGATAATCTTAGTCTGGTACTGGTTTCTTGTGATTAGGTTATGGCAAGATGCAGAGAATAGAGTGGTACTCAATAATATTCTTAAGAAGAGTTATCATCAGGTTTGGCCATTTCTGAAATGTTGTTTGTTTCTTTTTAAAGAGAGTAATTTTTATTAATTTTGATAATGTTCTTGGAGGTGTAGAAGACTAAGGTTCTTACGGTTGATGACAAGTTGATCGTCCTAGGATGCAAGTAAGTTTGTTTATGGTGATTGTGCTTGGATTGTGGTTTATATATGGTGTGTGCTTGTAATAACAGACTATGTGCTTGTTGTTATTAGAGATCTTGAGAGGAGAATTGTTGAAACTGAAATGGAGTTGACTCTTGCAAAGAGTCTAGGCTATCTTAAAAACCAGAAGAGTGGTTCTTCTTCAGGGAAGAAATTGCTTGCTGTGATTGGAGTTTATACAGGTTTTGGAAGTCATTTGAGGCGTAATACATTTAGAGGGACTTGGATGCCACAAGGTAGATCATGCTGTCATTGATCATCGAAACCGTTCTTTTGTCATTATCACTAATTATTCGTTCTAAAGGTGATGCTTTGAGGAAACTTGAGGAAAGAGGAATTGTCATACGTTTTGTGATTGGTCGAAGGTTTTTCCACTAACTCTATATGTTTTATTATTTTTATGTGTCATCATATGGACTATAATACTGATGTTTTAAGAATTCCAGTCCAAATCGAGGTGATAGCTTAGATCGAAAAATCGACGAGGAAAATCAAGCAAGAAAAGATTTTTTGATTCTTGTAAGTAAACAATATCAAAATCTTTAGCATCTTTTAGTAGCCTGCTTGATATTTGCTTCTTCTGTTTGATTTTGCGCACACAGTTTTTGCTCATTTGATGTGGCTTCTAATTTTCTTCTGGCACTACTGCTTTATTAGGAGAATCACGAGGAGGCCCAAGAAGAGCTACCCAAGAAAGTGAAGTTCTTCTTTAGTGCTGCTGTTCAAAACTGGGATGCACAGTTTTACATCAAAGTTGATGACAATATTGACCTAGATCTTGGTAAATACTTTCTCTTTTATTTCCTATCTGGGAAGTTATGTTTGGACCTACCCTGCATCAGCAATTCGTAGCTAAATGATCTTGGATCCAATCTCACATCAAGGATTCTATTTGTGTGATTTTAAACTGATAGAGGGGTTGATTGGCCTTCTTGAAAGCCGGCGTGGTCAAGATGCTGCTTACATTGGGTGTATGAAGTCTGGTGAAGTGGTTGCTGAAGAGTTCGTATCATACTCCACTTTCGTAAATTTGTATGTCTTTGACAGTATATGAAAACTAATAAATTTCCATCTACATGGGTCTTTGTGTCTCAGGGGAGGGCAATGGTATGAGCCAGAATGGTGGAAATTTGGGGACGAAAAATCGTAAGTGATAGCAAATGTTATATACTTAAAAGGGTCTTCTGTATAATCCAAATCTTCTTCATATTAAGCTCAATGGTTGAAATTTATGTTTTCGTCACATGATTGGAACAATTATGCTGTAACTCATATTATTTCTTCATTATATATAGGTACTTCCGCCATGCAGCTGGTTCGCTGTTAATACTATCCAAAAATTTGGCTCAGTATGTAAACATAAACAGGTTGGGCTCATATTCTGACTAACTTGATATTGAAAAGTATGTCATCGGCATTGTTCCATGTCCGGTTAACACTCATCACATATTCTCTTATCTGGTGTATATAACTGCAGTGGATCGTTGAAGACATATGCATTTGATGATACTTCTATAGGATCTTGGATGATTGGTGTTCAGGCAACTTATATAGACGACAATCGCCTTTGCTGCAGCAGCATCAGACAAGGTTTCATATCTTTAATATGAGTTATCTAAATATATGCATCTGGCTAAATCTGAGTACCGATATTTACTTTAACTGGTTTACAGACAAGGTTTGTTCTGTGGCTTGATCATTGGACTCTTCCAGCAAAACCTCTGGTGTATTCATGGCGCTTCTGATTCTCTCTGTGAGGCAGGTTCTTGGATTATTACCCGACTTAATATTTGTGTAGAATCAGACTATCATTAGCCAATTTCTTATAATATAGGCTAAAGTCAGGAATTTTAGTCAGCCTAGCTATAAAAAGGAAAAACAAAAACATTACAAAGTTATATATAACTAACCACATATAGCAGACTCAATCCCGGCTTCGATCTATAAGTTTGAGTGATGGAGTTTTTTACTTTAAGACTTCTTATGAAAAATATTTTAGCTTTCACCGGACTGTAATGGTTGTTGATTCACAAATGCGTCTGGATATCTTCTGCAAATTAAATGTTTTTCAATTCTTGTATTAGGCATAACCTCCAAGATTATCATATATTGATTGAAGAAGAAGAGGAAGAGAGTTTTCACTGAAAAAAAATTTGGGGCCATTGTAAGAATTAGCTTATTTTGACAGAAAAAATATACTTAACGAACGCTTGCGGTATTTGGTCTAGTAACTAACCCTTTTTGGGCTTTTCGGACCGATCTTCGCTTCATACATCGAATGCCTAACTGTTTCTAACAGATTAAAAACCTTGCTTCTGAATTTGGTTTCTCTACTCTATTTTCATCTTCTGTAAACGAGAGATTATTTGCATCGTTTACCATATTTACCAATTTCTGGTTACCACTCTGCTATTCTATGTTCTCCTAACATGTCGGCAGCATATTCAGTAGTACTAGACAAATTCCCTGTATCAACTTCGCGTGACAATACTAGACCCTTGTAATTGGGCCTAACATCGTTTTATGTTACTTCAAACAAACCTTAGGATCCTTAAGACCTTCCAACAAAACTTTTCTTTTTCCACCATCTAAAAGACACCCATTAAAAAGAAAATAAAAAAGGGAGATTTTTATAAATGTACCAAATTTAGTTAAATATTTCAACAATATACCCAATTTAATGGTAATTTGAAAACTACAGTTTTTCCATTGAAGTTTTAACATAATACCCTTTTTATTTATTTAAAATAATTAAATGTAAATTAATTTTAAATAATAAAAATTAAATTAAATTAAATTAAAATAATTAAATTAAATTAAAAACGTAATTATTTTTAATACAAAAAAAAATTATTTAATATGTGTAGAGTTCATTTTCTGAAATTTTGAAACAATATATAAAAATTATTTTTGATAATACTATTTGAATTTATGATATCAAATAAGTTTATAAACAAAATAGTAATGTATAATGTTTTCACTCCATAGTTTTCGGTAGACTTATTTCAATATATGTTGATTTATTATTGGAGCCGATTTTTTATACTGTGGACTTATTTGTTTACTTCTATTTACTTATTTTTTTTCCATAAATATATTTTAAAACAGTCGACTTATGTTTTGCCCCGTTGATTTATAACATAATCGGTTTATTGAACTTCTGACTTATCTTTTTTTGTTTATCGATTTATAGTTTTTTTGTCGACTTTTTTATTCATGGTAGACTTTCTTCATCTTACGTTGACTTATTAATAATGTCGTCTTTTTGAACTAACGACTTATATGTTATTTTCGTCGACTAGATTTATTTTTCATAGACTTATTTTAAAACAATTAACTTATATTTTAGTTGATTGATTTTTTTACATAGACAAATTTTTTAAACTGTTGACTTATTTCTTTATTGTTGATTTTATAATTTTATCCAGCAGAATTTTTTATTCTTGGTAGACTTATTTTATTTTACGATGATTTCTTAATAAGGTAAACTTTTTGAACCGTCGACTTATACTATATTTTAATCGACTTAATTTTTTTCTCTATCGACTTATATCAAAAAAGTCGACTTATATTTGGTTCATTGATTATTTAGATTGTTGACTTTTTTGAACTGTTGATTTTTTTTTAAAAAGTGAGATAATTATTTTTGAATCTGTTTTTTAAAATATTTATTAAATTTAAAACAATTAAAACTAATTTATATATGTTGTGAAACTTATTGTTATCTCATTCCATTCCATGAATAATGATACATATATATAGGCATATAAACCTAGGGTTTTAGAGTACATAATGAATAACCCTGATAGGCTTATTTGGCCCGGTTATAAGTCCAATATGATGTATTATAACACTCCCCCTTGGACGGAGTAACCGGACCTGATGGTCAATCGGGATCTCGATAATACGCTGGGGAATGTTGCCTCATTAAAACCTTACCAGGAAAACCCAGTGGGAAAAACCATGGTGAAGGAAAAAGAGTACAACACGCATTACTCCCCCTGATTAGAGCATCACCGTAGATCTCTAAGTCTACGCATTCCTATTTGTTGGATGAGCTTCCGGAGTGTTGAAGCGGGCAATGATTTGGTGAAAAGGTCGGCGGAGTTATCGCATGATCGGACCTGTTGAACGCTGATCGTACCATCCTTCTGCCAATCCGAGGTTGAGAAGAATTTCGGTAGGATGTGCTTCGTCCGATCTCCTTTGATATAACCTTCCTTGAGTTGAGCAATGCAAGCCGCGTTGTCTTCAAACATAACCGTGGGCTCCTTATCTTCTTTCATACCACAATCTGATCGGATGTGCTGAGTCATGGATCGTAGCCAAACACATTCTCTGCTGGCTTCGTGAATGGCCAAAAGTTCTGCATGGTTTGATGAAGTGGTAGTGATTGTCTGCTTTATCGATCTCCAAGAGATAGCTGTTCCTCCATGCGTGAACACATAACCAGTTTGAGACTTGGCATTGTGCGGATCTGATTGATATCCTTAGGAGGTGTTTGATACCATTCCAGTGCCTCTGAGTTGGACATGAGCTGAAGCGAGCTAGGAGGTTCACGGCAAAACAAATGTCTGGTCTAGTGTGACTAGCCAAGTACATTAACGCTCCTACAGTACTGAGGTATGGCTTTTCTGGACCGAGAATTTCTTCATCGTCCTTCTTGGGACCGAATGGATCACTGTCCAATCCTAGGCTCCGGACAACCATTGGGCTATTCAATGGGTGGGCCTGGTCCATATTGAATCGCTTGAGTACTTTTTCAATGTAAGCCGCTTGATGCACAAGGATTCCTCCTTTAACGTACTCAAGTTGTAAACCCAAACAGAATTTAGTTTTACCTAGGTCTTTCATTTCGAATTCTGCTTTCAAGCAGTCGACTGTTTGGGAGATTTCACCAGATGTTCCGAGGATGTTTAGATCATCCACGTAAACTGCTATGATTACAAATCCTTTGTTTGAGTATTTCTTGATGAAAATGCATGGACTGATGGGATCGTTTTTGTAGCCTTCTCTGATGAGATATTCGCTTAACCGGTTATACCACATACGTCCACTTTGTTTCAGTCCATACAAGGATTTGTTCAGCCTGATGCAGTATTGATCTCGAGATGCATGCTTATCTTTAAGCTCTATGCCATCTGGTAATCTCATGTATATTTCATTGTCGAGGGGCCCATAGAGATATGCGGTGACAACATCCATTAACCGCAAATCTAGATTTTCTCTTATGGCCAGACTTATGAGGAATCGAAAAGTAGTTGCATCCACCACCGGAGAATAAGTCTCCTCATAATCGATTCTGGGTCTCTGTGAGAATCCTTGTGCTACAAGCCGTGCTTTATAACGAACGACTTCACCGATTTCGTTTCTTTTACGCACAAAGACCCATTTATGGCCCACTGGTTTGACATTGAATGGTGTCCGGATGATCGGACCAAACACATTCCTGAGTTTGAGACTCTTTAACTCCACGTTTATGGCTTCTTTCCATTTTAGCCAGTCTGTTCTATGAGTGCACTCTATGATAGACGTGGGTTCTAGATCCTCTTGCGTGTTCGCAATATCAAGTGCTACTTTGTATGCAAAGAGTGCATTTAAGTCGACTTCTTTTCTGTTCCATTGGGTTCCAGACATGTTGTAATTGATAGAGATCTCATTGTTATCGATCTCGTCAGAACCTAGAGATTCGGCGTCCTGAACCTCTTATGGTGGTTCATTAGAGTGAGTCTCAGCGCGCGCTATGTCTGTTATATTGGGAATCCCGGTTTCAACTATTGCACCTTTCTTTGATTTCCGTGGATTCTTGTCTTTGGAACCTAGAGGTCTGCCACGTTTATTTCGTGATGCAGACTCTGTAGCAACTTGAACTTGTCCCGTTGGAACAGTGATTCGTACTGGTGCATTACAAGCTGGTATGTACGATTTGGTTACTTTGTTCGGGTCAGCAAAGGAATCTGGCAATTGATTAGCTAGCTTTTGATAGTGTATAATCTTTTGGATCTCCGAATCACATTCTAGAGTCCGAGGATCTTGCCAATTTAAGGATGTTTGATTCCATGATAGCTCTTTGACCAGCTTGTGTTTCTCTCCACCCAATGTTGGATATACCGATTCATCAAATTGGCAATCCGCATATCTGGCCTTAAATAGGTCTCCAGTGGTCGGCTCGAGATATTTGATGATGGTGGGAGAATCAAAACCAACATATATTCCCATCCTCCTTTGAGGTCCCATTTTGGTTCTATGTGGTGGAGCAATGGGTACATAGACTGAGCACCCAAATGTTTTGAGATGGGAGATGTCTGGCTCATGACCCTGTAATAATTGGGATGGGGAATATCTATGCTCACTAGATGGTCGGATGCGTATTAGTTCAGCAGCATGTAATACTGCATGTCCCCAAGCTGAGACCGGGAGTTTCGACCTCATGAGTAATGGTCGAGCAATCCATTGGATTCGTTTAATGAATGATTCAGCAAGTCCATTCTGAGTATGGACATGTGCCATAGGATGTTCAATGGTCACCCCCATGGCCATACAGTAATCATTAAACGCTTGGGAAGTGAATTCACCAGCATTATCAAGACGTATAGTCTTTAGTGGGAAGTCTGGAAAGTGGGCTCGTAATCTGATGATTTGAGCCAACAACCTAGCAAAAGCTTGGTTCCGAGAAGACAATAGGCATACATACGACCAACGGGTCGAAGCATCTATTAGTACCATGAAGTACCGGAATGTCCTAGAAGGTGGGTGAATGGGACCACAGATATCTCCTTGGATTCTTTCCAGAAAATGCAATGTCTCTTTGGACACTTTTACTGGTGAAGGCCGAGTGATCAACTTCCCTTGGGAGCAAGCTGTGCACATGAGGTGCTGAGGGAAGACTCGGTTTTCTCGAAGGGTGTGTCCTTGAGAACTTTGGATTAATTTACGCATCATGGTTGTACCGGGATGACCAAGCCGGTCGTGCCAAATAGTGTAGTTTTGGAACCGGGCTTTGAGAGCATTATTAGCCTCAATCATACTGACCTTGGCATAGTAAAGGCCAGTAGATAAAGCGGGTATAGTCTCGAGGACTTGTTTATGGCCAAGTGTGATCTTAGTGATCAGTAGGGATTCTTTATTCCCTTCACCCTGGGTTTCTATGTGGAAACCATTAAGTCTGATATCTTTAAAACTTAAAAGGTTTCTTTTTGAGTTGGGTGAGTATAATGCATCTGGAATGTCCAGATGTGTGCCGTTTGATAACAACACATGTTCAGATGATAGAATCAATCGAGGAGATCTGAGATCTCGTAGTCCATGGGATCGGTCGGCTCGATGGTGGTGTCGTTAGCATCAACTTGCAGGGCCATGTTAGCTTCAGCAGGTGCTTTCC